CCATCTGACAGGAGGAGAATCGGGTGATAGGAAAATAACTTCTAACTTGCAAGTACAAATCAAAAGGCAGGACAGAAATAAATTATAGATGAAGTGTTTGAAAGGATACGTACACTTACAGCACATGCCTCTGAACAAATACAAAATATTTGATCCGTAAAGGTCAGCGCTGTACATGAAATTCCCTCCTTTCTTGTATCAATGCCAGGAGACCACTCAGTGGATTACTTCAGTTCTCGGGCTTCCAGGAAACACATTTGATGCCTGAACTCCCCCTCAGCTTTTTATGGCCCTCGTAGTAGTTTAATGCAGTCATGCTCTACAAAGAGAACGGTGGAGATGTGCACTTAAGTGTCTTTACCTGGTAATGAACAATATCAAATGCCATCTGAAAAAACCTTCCTTTTATCTTGAAAGCTGAGCCTAACATGGGGTAGCTGTAGAAACAGGTAAACTCACTTTTGTTGTACATTTATGGCCATAATAAGACATTAGCATTGGCAAGGTTCTACTTGGATCACAAATGCATGTATAAATTATCCATCCATGGAGCCTCAGTAAAAGGGTAATTCCGTGGGCTGTGATGGATGCTCAGCAAGACCAGCAAAAAAAGATTCCAGACTTAAAGAAGTTCAGTATTAAAAAAAGATTAAAAAAAAGACAGGATCAGTAGAAAAGATTTGCCCCCAGTTTTATACCTCTAAACGTATCCTCAACATGTAGAAACAATGGACACCTCATACAAAATACCCCATCACACGGTTGTACTTGCAGCACGTACTTGTTTGTGGCAATTTCATTATTATGAGTAGCAAAAAGAATACTCTGATGTCCCTCAAGGCCCCTCCAGTTGAGATTCACTTCAGCCGAAACAGAAAGCGATGGAAGGAGGATAAAAATAGCCCCATCTGTTCACTGCCTCCTGCGATGCGTCTTTACAGTGTTTGCTCTGCGTGGTCTTTGGATGAGAGCATTAAGAAGGACTTCTGTCTGCCTCTGCAGTGTCCCCATCCGGCAGCCCCTGCGCGCTCCCTGGCTTTGCCCACGTTTGCTCTGTCTGCGTTGTGCTCAGTTGTTGTGCTTGGAAAATCCTGACGGGCGCCAGGACTCTTCCAAACGAAGGCACACTGGAAGCATTCAGTTTGATTTATCGACATGTGCTGTTGTTTTGTTGTTTGGTTTTTTTTTTCATTTCACATATATTGTGTTTCCATGGCGCTGACTTTTTGCCTTTCAAACTTTATTGTGTGAGTTCACTGCAAGTGAACATTAATGCTCGGATCCATGAGATTTGTGGAGTTACTTTATACTTAATAAAACAGGAGCTCAAGAGGCAGGCAGCCCCAGGACTTTCCCATCCTCAGTGCTGCACTCAGCGCAGCAGCCCTCCCTTCTCTTTTCTTCCCAGTTTGTTCATCCTTGGCCCAGTGCCTATGGAAGTACACAGCTCCTGCTTCTCACGGGTGTGCAGCTCTGATCAGCTTATATACACATGCTTTAAAAGTATTATAATACTCAACATATTCAGATATTTTGATATAATCAAATGTTCTTTCAGGGTCTTGAGTAATGGAAAATGCCAAGGTTGATAAGAAGGAAGAATTAAATTGAAAATCTCACCTTCTTCCATCTGTCACAGAGTCGGTGGCATCAGACTTTGGGTTTGTCCAAATGTGTCCAAAAAACCCCAAGTCGCAACAGATTTAATTGTCCTGCTTTGAGTGGTGGATGTCCTGTTCCAACTCAAATAACGGCATCTGTGATTAAGCCATTCCTCAGAAGGATTTGTTTTGCCTTCTTTCTTTGTGACTTATCATAATTTCAGTCAGCTCTTCTGATCGTAGCGATTGTATTCTGGGCTTCAGGATGTCAGAGTCTGAACTGCAGAAGCAGAACAAGAAAAGCACAGCCCTTGCTCTTACAAAGCAAAAGCACGTGGCTGCACAGCGCGAGCTCTGCTCCTCTCTTTCCTATCGTGCTCATTGAGTTTGTGGGGGCTTTGATGCCCAGATACTTCCACACAACTGCACAGGTTTGTGTGGGACTGTTCTTGACCAGAATGGTCACCTCCTCTCCACTGAAAGATCTCATCTTGCACAGAAGTTAGGCTGTGTGGTACAGCTGGCAGCTCTGTTTGCTTCCAAGAAGGCATTTCGTTATCTACTTGTGCCCCATGCCTAGAAGGAAGGTGGTAGGGGCCTGGGATTTTTTCCTTGTATTCTAGCAGAACTTGGACAATCATTTGGGCTAAACAAAGGCACGTCTGTACTAAAGGAAGCAGAAACGTTATCCTCATTTGTGCAAACTGCACTGGTTCTGAAGGAGCCCAGAGGGGCTCAGCTCACACACAGCACACAGCAGCCCGCCCTGCTCCGCCCTGCCGGCTGTGGTTGCGGGCGGATGGATGGAGCACTCCAGTGGTTTGCTGCCCTTGTAAGCCTGAAGGGGTTCTTTGGCTCTTCACATTTCTATTTGCTGTCATTAAGTACAGTCTATTAACTTCTTCTCAATGAAACCTGAAGTTAATGTTCTAATTTTTTCTAGTGCTAGGTGCTGCCCACACGTTGGAAGACGCAGTCCTGCCCTAGACAGCTCACAGTATAAACTTAAAAGAATATAAAGAACGTGTAACATGAAGGGCTTCAAGACGTAAATTAATGGAAGTCACAAGAATGCAGCAAGGCTAGAGGAGCAGGCGATGCTCGCAGGGTAGGATTAGCCTCATTCATCTGGAGATCAGAATCAGATGGTCTTTAAAGTCATAAATGAAGAAGAAATGGATGATGCATTTATGATCTCACCAGGAAAGCACGGCAGTCACACCCCAGGTCAGATTCTCTCTCTGTTGTCTTTGTGGCAAGCGATCTCCTCTTTCTATTTTTTTTTTCTTATCCCATCTAGAAATTATGGGAGGCAGTTCCTGGTCTCTGGCACGCACAATGGAGGTGCACAGTATTGCTACAGCATTGTAATTTGTCAGCATTAAAAAGCCTGACATCTCGTTCTCCCAATGAAGCTAGCAATGAAAACTGAAAATGGCAGAGTGTGATCTCCTTCTGGTAGCAATGAATGTAAAAACAATGCAAAACAGAAGGAAAGTAATGTCTTATTGCAACCCTAAATTCTAATTTCCAGATCCTGCACGAATCATCTAACAATTGTTGAGATGAGACGTAGTGAAAGAAAGCGGCGATCGTTTCTCACAGACAGTCGTTGTGGTTTTCCTTCTCAATTCCCTTCCTGAGTTGGGGATTTTAACAAGTCCTCAATAACGCTGTGACCTGGCTGTGCTGCCCTGCTAAGGACTGGCACGTAGGCAGCAACCACTCAGCAATGGCATTAGGGAAATAATGGCCAGGTGCACGTTTTTGTTTTTGTTCTTGGTGCTTTGGCAGGGCTCCTAGCAGGCAGCCAGCAGCCTGACCTGGCCAGGACAGGAGCACGAAGGGCTGATGGCTGAGGATGATGCTGGCTGAGGGCAGAGCACAGCAGAAAACAGCTTGGCAGTGGTCTGAGCACTGGAGGAGATCATCCCCAGATGTGCTGTTTCGGAGCTACGTCGATCCCTCTTTCTGCACTTTCTGATGTTTCTCTGTACCATACAAACACCATTCTCTGATGGTGTTTCCTGGGACGGCCTTTGGTGCTGGTTGCATTCTGTTGGTGTGAGATGCAGCAGCCTGCACTGTGTGTTGTGCTATGGCAGCGTGCAGGCAGCTCCCAGGGCAGGGCTCAGCTCCCGTGGAGGTGTGTTATGTACCTCACCTGTGGGAGAAGTGGTGCTTAATGAATGCAAAGCACCTCTGGATATCCGCATGTCTGAAATTCCTGCTGCACTTACAGGAACTTCACTTCCACAACAAGTGCCACACAGACCGCCCCAGGGCAGCCCGCAACCCGAGGAGAACAGGATGTGCCCTGTGAATGTGCTGGGTGGGGAAGGAGCATTTAAATAGCACGAACAAATGACAGAATGGATACAAGTCAGGCTGCGATTATCCTCCTGCAAAACATGCGGAGGATATCGGTTATAAAAGGGAGCTGCTAAAGGGCATCTGACCCATGGCCACTGCTGGAGGCTGCCCAGGGCTCGGGGATGGAGGGCACGGCTGCAGAGCTGCCCGTGGGAAGGTGTCCGCTCCTCCTTCCTTCCCATACGTCCGTCAAAATCAGTGCTTTTTGCAGCGGATATCTCACTCCCTCTCCTGGGGACGGAATGGAGGGGATACGTGCGGGCCGTGAGTGCTGTCCTGGGGATCGGCCTCATTTGCTGCCCGGGTTTGACAGCACATGAAGGGATGCCGCTTTCGGCTCCGCTGCCAAAGCCCTATTTTGTTCGCAGCGCCGCCCGCTCTGCCCGCCGTGCCTGACCCACGCAGGCTGTTCTCTGCTGTAAACGCTGGACGCCACAGCAGTGTTATCTTTTTATTGCCTTATTTAGCCAAGAGATTAAATGTAACGCTCAGGTTACGTCGGACATTAACTCCTAACAAAAAAGAACAAAAACCAAAAAAACCAACACAGCTGCGGGATTTCCCATTAAACGTTTCGCGGCGGCGTTGCAGCGGAGCAATGCGGGATCCGTGACTCCATGACTCGCCCTCCCGCACAGAAAGCAGTGCGGTGCTCCTCCCGCACAGGTGCCGCCCGCCGCTCCCGGAGACGCGCACTGCGGGGCTGCGCGGGTACCGACCGCACCCGGGGCCGAGCGTGCCGGCGGGGAGGGGGGGGGTTCGGCCGGGCGGGAAGTTGTTGCCCAGGGCGGGTGGTGCAGGCGGTCCGACCTCCCCCTGCTCCCCCCCCGGTGCGCTCGTCTCGTCTCTCCGACAGGATTTTGATGTGAGCCGATGGTTGCCACGGTAACGGCGGCCCCGGAGCCCCGCGCCGCCGCAGCGCCCGGCCGGGCTGAGCACGGGGCGCAGAGCGCGGGGATCGCAGCCGGGCAGCAGGCCGGGGCTCCGGCTTGTCTTAATATTTAGTATTCTTGTCTCACCCCGCAGGGGTTCCTCAGCCGTCGGCTTAAAGGCTCCATCAAAAGGACAAAGAGCCAACCGAAGCTCGATAGGAACAGCAGCTTCCGGCACATCTTACCTGGCTTCAGGAGCGTGGACAATGAGAGGTGAGCAGCCGTTCCTCGGGATGGGATGGGATGGGATGGGATGGGATGGGATGGGATGGGATGGGCACGCCACTTTTTGCAGCCTTTGTTAATTAACCCTGTGTCATCTTATTGGGAGCAACAGCACATCTGTGATAGAGGTAGACTTGCTTAATTGCATTAGGTGTCATTTTAATGCATTGGCAAGCACACAGTGCGAGCCCTCCCTTTTTAGGTTGAGTAGAATGGGCTGAGGTGCCCATCTGATGGGCTTTCCTCTCCCCACTACACCCGAAGTTGTTGCTCTGGCACAGGCAGAGCATGGAGATGTAGCAGCCGCCGAGCGCTGCGGGCATGGGAAGGAGGGAGGGAGCAGCTCCGGCTCAGCCCTTGTATGGACAATAACAGCCGTGATGTCCCCAGATCCCTTTCCTTTTCCACGCTGGCACTCCTGTGCAGCCCTGTGTCTCTGCTCCCGGGCAGCCCATGGCAGGGAGCCCTGCTGTGTAGGTTGGCCGGCGGTGGAGCAAACTGCACACAAAATAAAGGGGGAAACGAGACCTGGTGGTTATTTTCCAGCTCGGTTAGAAGGTGAAGCTCGGCAGTGGGTTTGTGTGTGTACATTTCTGTGGGTGCATGAGTGAGAGCCACACATCTCTGGATGAACTTATGTGTGAATGCACGATGCAGAGCGAGGGCAGGTTTGGTTTGATGGGCCCCACTGCCAGCAGCACACAGAGGTGTTGCTTCCAGGAGGAAGGTCCTGAGGTCTCATATGAATCTATTTAGAGAATGACATACAGGTATGGAAGTGCCAGAAAAGCTCTGTCTGAAAAGTATGGCAAATCAGGCATACATGGACGTGATCATTTTGTAGCAGTGGGATTATAAAATATCAGGACAGCACTGTAGGACCCACTGAGCACATGTTTCACTTTCAGACACAGCGAGAACAACTTCTTCCTTTTAACCATCCTCATACACTGGAGGGGCCGGGAGCTGCTGAATGTTTCTGAAATCTGGGTTTTTCTTTAGACGAACTGAGCTTTTTCCTTCTGGATTTAGCAAGTGAAAGGATTGTGCTGGTCAGTGCAGGGAAACATTGCAGAGGCAGAGTCACAATTCCGCGCTGCAGTTTTCACGGCTGCTCCAAGCAGGGCAGTGTGTTCCACACGGAGGACGAGTGAGGGCAGCCAGGATCTGCCCAGGGCTGCTGGGCGCCCCGAGGTGGGCACAAAGGGGGCACGCAGGGCAGTGTTTTCTCTCTCTGCAGATGAGTTTTGTTTCATTCTGCAAACTGGCAGTGTAGGACATGGGAATGAACTGCTTTGGCCAGCTCTGAAGCCAAAGTCATTTTCCTAAATTAAGTCTGTGATTTCCCTGCTCTCCCTGAACAAGAGCCCTGCCACATGCTGGGCAGTGTCCTTCCTGACAGAGTGCATTTACCACAACTTTTCCCTAAAGGAATTCGATGAGTGGCTGTAGTGCATTTTCAGCATAGTGATTAAAATGTGGATTAGAGGAGCGGTAGCATTTGTCAGCCTTGAACAAACCTTAACGATTTGCTTATCTGAGTATTCAGAAACTGGAAACGAAGGGCTTCAGGTATCACTCAGGCTTCATCTGTGATCCGCAGACATGCCGCCGTCTGCAGGGAGCCGTCTGATGCTCCGTAGATTCTGGCACTGAGCTTTCGGCCCCCAGCTTTCCCAGCACTGTCAGGTCAGTGGGACTGAGCGGGTTTCCTTCTGCAAAAATCCTTGGCTGTAGATACGGCTCTGGGAGAGGTGAAAGAAAGCAGCAGTTGGGCTTCTCAGTGACACACCTATGGCTTGGTTACGGAGATCATTCTGTCTTCCTGAACATTCCCGTGTCGATTAAAATGCATGATGCATGCAGCTCTGTGTATGAAGGGGCTTGACTCTGTATCACTTCCTTATCTCTCCTGAAATCGAAGAAATGCTTCAAAGAAGCATTTGCTATCAGCATTGCTTCCTAAATATTTGATTCCTGACTCCATCTTGTATTGAAGCTGACTGCTCGCAAACTCCTGCTTTTCTCATGGAAGTAACCATTGTAACAACATTCTGTTCTGGAACTTGGCAGAATTTTTGCAAGAGATGCCATAGCACAAATGAATTGTGCAATAAATGCAGACAAAGCCCTTGAGGTTAAGTATTGAGCTATAGTTGTACTAGATCACAAACGATTGTTACCTGGGTTTGGCATATCTGTACTGGTGCTGTGTAATATCTCCTCGTATCTTCATTTTCATGTCCTGTTCATCCTGCTGTGCATAGCAAGAGTGTATAAATACACCAAGTGTGCACAGAGGTGTGCAGACAAGCAACGAGGTGGATGTGGCATGTATGTAGAGAATATAAACGTACCTGTGTTTGATAAATATACAATTTAAATTCATCATGTCAATTTGAAATGGCACATGATTACAGTGAGGAATTTGTACAGTGTGAGTTTTATAGCAATGCAAAACAAGGAAATATCTGTAAACAGAAATGTCGCAGGACATCTTTGCAGCACTTCCAGATCGCCCTGCTGTCTGTGTGTCAGTCTGTGCTCCAAGCTCACAGCAGCACAAAGGGATCAGGCAGCTTCCCAGCAGAACCTCGCCGAGCTGCTCTACAGAGCGAGTCCTGCAGCTGGCAGCTCTGCCGTGTGTGGGGCTCATCTACAGAGCTGCTGTGCTATTTGCTGGGGTCCCACTGCGGTCTGCTGGGTGCACGTGTGGTCTGAGCAGCTCCGGGAAGTCCGACAGTGCCGCCAAGGAGAACCCTGGGCAACTTCCTTTTGTCTGTAGAGAACATCTGAGAAATTGTCCGAGGGCACATTAGAAGAACGCACTGATTGCAGTCAGACAGAGCTTATGTTTGTAGGACAGGCGTGGTTGTATCTCATGGCATCTGATTTTCACACTGATTGAGAGGAGATTGATTGAAAGAGGTGGAATAAGAGGTTGGTGCTGCCTTCAAGTGATGCGGAGCTCACGCGGTGCGGCCGGACATCTCTCCATCCTTTCACACACTGATGTTCTTCTTGGAGCCTTGTAACAGCAGCAGGGTACAGTGACTGAATAGAAGCAGTATCACAGCAAGTACTGCTAGGGTCTGGTATGAGAGCTGTGTTCATCTGGTACAACCCATTGGTATAAATGTGGGATTGCAAGGAGGACTGCAGGATGAGCCTTTTGCGTTTTGTTTGCAGGCACTTGTTAGAGCTAGAAAAGGGTTCTGTTAAAGAGGCTTTTTGCTGCCAGCGTGTCCCGCATCCTGACTTATCACAGCAGCTAACGAAGTTTTTATCATGGAGCGCTGAATGTTTGTCTTTGTAGGGGCCTCTCTGGAATCAGCCACAAATCAAACATTTGGCAGATGGGTTGTCCTTAATTGGACCCACATTTCTGCTACGGAATAGGGGTTGGGCTCTGGGCACACATTGCAGGCCTGGAGAACTGGGAGAATGTTATTCTGCTGCACTTGTTAATTGTGGTGTTTGGGCATTTGGATTGGTACATCAGTGCTGAGAGGAGAGGGACACAGAGTCACCTTATGGGATGAAAGATGGGCACTCCGTGTAACTCATTATTCTGATGTAATCCTGATGCTGATGGCTCCTAAGGACGCCTTTCCTCAGCGTGCTGTGTTCCTTCAGAGCTAAGGGACACTCAATTAGTAACATTTGGGATTATTTTGCAAGTTTTTGTGTTGGTTGTTGTTTGCATAATTCCAGAAGATAACATTCCATTTATGGCTTTTTTCTTGGCACTACAAAAAATCTGAGCATATGGTGGATTGTTAAATGAGCCTCAGCCTGGGAAGGGCTGCAGCCATGCTTTGGTAGCACCATGGCCATGACTCTTACTCACTCTTTCAACTATTCAATTCTTATGCCACCACAATTTTTTCCTTGTAACCCACAGAGAGAAGAGAAAGCAGACAAGTCACATACTGCAGCACATTTAACTCCTGATGCAGCACCAATGCAGTCTGCTCAATGGGTTCCAAACATTTGTAAAGTTTATTCTGAAGCAATAGGAGAGCATTAAGAACTTCTGGATATCTGTACTCATGCAGTAAAGTTAATTTGTGGGTTCTTGTCAAGTCTGATTATCATTTAGTTATTCCCAACAAACCTGATAGGCCAAATATTTTTAGTCATGATGAAGCTGGTTGCCAAGAATAGGGTGGCTGCTGCATTCCGGGGCATGCAGAAGTGGCTTTGTTTCCTCTGGGAAGAGGAATGGCCCCCACACAGCCATGCATGGAGCTTGGGGCCGCTTCTGGCTCCTTAGCTGAATGGCATTGGCTGTGAAGTGTTCCAAGCAGGAAGAGTTAGAACAGCAGGTGCAAGGTGGAGGTTTTTTGTGATAATGCAGATATTCTGAGGAAGCACCACCAAGTTTGTACACAGAAACCATTCTGTGCCATCAGCCATACCTGGAAAGCAAAATGTGATGTGTTGCGAAGTGGAGCAGGAGCTTCCAGCATCTGTGCTATGGTGCAGAGGTCTGTTCTCAGTCCACCTCACCACCAGCAAACAAGTGCAGCTCTGGTGATGGGGAATGGGCTGAGGAGTGCTGCCCACACAGAGTTCTGCATTTCTGTCAAGGCAACCTTGGCTGGGAATGTGCAAATCAACCTTTAAATGGGATTCCTTGGCAAGTATTTCTTGAACCAGAAAGTTAATTACTGATCCCCATTTAATGGCTATGTTTGGAAGCTACAGTGAAAGCAGAACTGCTCCGAAGGAGAGATGCAGGAGGAAATTATCCCTTTTCCACACAACCCGTTACGTTGCTCATCGTCTTCTTCACAGTTACAGGACTTCAGGAACCAGCATTCAAATCATTTTAAAGGGATAATGCTCTGAATGGTGAGGGGATTTTGGAGTTTTCTTTTGGCATTGACATAAAAACAAATAGTCCTTTTTATGGAAGAAGGGGTAATACTCAGTGTTGTAAGAATAAGGTCCAGGCTGTGGGCCCTTCGTGTTTCTCTGCTTCT